CATAATTTTAGTCCTTTTGGCAGGAAAAGGCGCAGTTGAGAGGGGCATGTTATGACAGCTGGTGACACCAGTGGGCGCGACCGCCGATGCGGTCTGCATTTGCCGGAAGATGGGTCTGTCTCTATGAACGTTTATTACTTGATCGCGTCTTGTGTGGTCGCATGTTTGTAGTCAGGGGGGATTTTCGTTACAATCAGTGTTACGAGTATTTCAAACAGACTTACGTTTTCTTCAGTTTTTTCTCTATTAGGTTCATAAGTTGGCGTCTTTTGCGCACTCATTTTTTTTCCACGATATCGTGTATGTTTCCTTATCAGTTAATTTGAATTCATTCTGAATGAAGTTGGAAATTCATTTTAAACAATTCTTTATACGCTCTTAAAATGTATGCCGCAGAGCATAGTTAGTTAGTTAGTTACTGGAGAGGGTGGGTTTCCCCATGCACTTAGACCTGTAATGGTCCATTGTGCTTCCCTCTATGATTTCTACCAGTCTCTCTATCCTACCGGTATTGGTGCTTACCATCAGTCCCGCCCAGCCAGCGAGACCGGCTCTACTAGCTGAGAGGTATCTATAATGCTTCCCCCCTCTACCAGAGGTATTAGAGACTGCTGTTGGGCGGGAAACGTCCGTAATTTTTGGTTCAGTGACCTCCTTTGGAGGTATGAGGTTCTTTTACGTGCCATAAAGCTACGACACGGGACCCACGGCTTAAAGTCCCTCCCGGAGGACTTGTTCCCTGAATTTTTCCGCCCTTAAAAGTTCGACGACCTCCGCCGGGTATTTGAACCCGCGTACTACGAATCATGAGGTGGGAACGTTACCTCTAGACTACGGAGACCGCTATGCCGCAGAGCATAGTGAAACTGAAGTGTGTCAGCAATAGAACTTGTGATCCATATGCGAAATTTGTGTTAAAGAATATCTGAAAAGAGGTTGCCTGCTATGACGCCCTTCCTGGCAGTCAACTCTTTCAGTTCTGTGAAACATCGGGGTGTCTGAGGTGTTGAAATGATACAAGTTTCTTACACCTCCACGGATTTGTTGTGATAAAACACTTGATAGCCCTTCGAAAGACTGCACTTGAAAATAAACTTCGAGCACAGTCGTATAATACACACCGTAATGCGGAAACAGTCTCTTATTTCGATGTGGTAGAGTACACAGTCTGGGTAAATTGCACTGAATACAAGGTCTGTATTATTTAGAACTCAATGTGACAAGAATAATCGGAGAGCTGAAGTTCGATACCCGCCAGAAGCATCAGGATTTTTCTGTTCACCATTGCGTCCAATCAGTCTCGCAGACAAAGGCGGCCGGATCGTGAATGTGTGTCAGGCAGGGATGCGTGTACTGCCTGCACTTTGTGTTGGCGCACAACTTCACACGACGCCACGTCTGTCAGTAAATTCCAACGACGGAACGGGGTGTTTCAGCGGCTGAAGGAAACGGCGCAACGTTGGGTTCTGCTAAAAATAGCCAACGTAGCAGCGGGCGCAAGAGCCTTTGTGGGAACAAAGCATCGATGCATTCTGTTGCGCCAAGTGGTCTCTTATCTCGAGGTTCTGCAATCAGAATTCTTTATGCATTTATCTGATCATCCTACTCACAGTGATTACGAAGCTCGTCTTAGGACCAGATATACTCCTTGGAGCCGTCCCACACGGTCGCATCATCGTCGATGTTTGACCTCGTGTCGGAAGACAAGTTGAACGGCCCTTAATGGATTTTTAATTTTTATTTCTAAGATGACATTAATCTTGAAGCTTGTAATGACATTAGCGGATGCTGAAGAAGCCTAGCATCTCGCTTCCTACGAAAACAATAGCCAGTTAGAAAACCACTCTATTCCCAAAGCATACCTCTGGTTTGGTCAAGTAATGGAAGTCATTAGTTCGTTTCAGCTTACTTCTATCCACAAAGAGTATTTTAATTGTTAATCTGCTTCCACACTGAGTTCGGTGTACAGTGAAAGGAAGTTCTGGCACGAACTAATCACCTGCTTTACTTTGATACGACGCGCACCGGATAGAGAATGACTCGTCCAACAATTCTGTTGTTCATGTGTGTTCGTTGCCGCAGGAATATATTTAACGAGCTGTTGCCTAGCAACAATGGGGTGATACACAGAGCAAGGGAATATCACTCGCCTACTCTCCTAAAGTAGTCTTATGCTATCTCCTTCCTCTTTGTGTCTTTGTGCTCTCTCCTCGGTCCGATCCGATGTATTACTTATCTGTAGACGTCAACACAGACAGTATTCAGAATCCGTCTGAGAGAAGAGGAGGTCCGATGCTCTGCTCAGTCGGAGCGCCTGCACTAAAACGTCGATCCCTCCTCTTGTCGAAGAGGTGGAGCCGTTGCCTAGCAGCGGGGGGGGGGGGCACGCACATAGACACAGGAAGGAAGGAGATCGTGTAAGCCTACTTTAGGAGGTATCAACTCGTATTTCTGCCATTAGTTCACCACATGTATGCGTGGATACAGCTGACCGGGAGGTGGGGCCCTGACAAAGTAACTCGCTGTAAAGGAGACAGCTTTCTGGTGGAATTATGTATCTCTTCTCTACGTCTGTAGTCCCCACGATATGATCATAGCACACATTATAGCGGTAGTTTCGCAGACTGAGATACTGCAGATACAAGTCAACTTCGCCAGACTTCCAATTCACTTATGTAAGGAGAACGCAGTCTGTATAGTGACTACACTACAGGCTGGATAACTGAGGAATCGGGGTTCGATTCTGAGCAGAGGGAATATGTTTTTATCTTCACTGTAGCGTTCTGACCGGATTCAGGGCCCATACAAACCTTCTGTCCCCGAAGGTAAGATGACCAATGAGTGAAGCTGACCTCACACTTGCCTCTAACAGCATGAAGCTTTGAGCGGAGTTGACCACTTATCGTTTTGCATGACGTTGTAATGTCAGTATTTCCACGAAACAACTCCGTTAAGGTTCGGCCACACAGAGCGCTACGCTATGTTCGCTACGTACGCTGTGTGCATTCTGCGACGCAGCTAACATAGGGAACACAGCGTACGGAAGTCTGTGTGGCCAGTCACACTGGCAATAAAGGGAGATATTTTTCTGTTCGTATAGCGTACGTAGCGCTCTGTGTGGCCGAACCTTTACGCAGTGTGTCACTCAGTATAAAGTTCGATACTGCAATTCCCTGGAGCTCAGGTATGCCGTAGGCTATTACCGACTTTGTCCCATTTAAAATGGTGCCAGAGAAAATATTTTCTGCGAGTTATATTTTAAATTCCGTACCAATTTTTGGTTAGATGTGAGAAGCACTGATTGAGATAAGATGCAGTATGAGGCATTCACGTTGTATTAAGTGCATGTTTGCTCGAGCTATGTTTTATTGTTAAACTTAAGGCTATGAACATAAATGTTGCACTTCAGTGTGTGTTTCACAGCTGTGAGAGTCTACTGAATGGGCAATCCATGCAAGTATGAGGAAATGGAGTTCACAGAGTGAACCTAAACTAACGCCAGGGAGCCATCTGTCTTGAGAAACTGATAGCCATTCACATAGCCAAGAAATTCTGTACCTCATATAAAATCTGGAAGCCAAAGCCCTCTATTGTACACTATCCGGCGTTAAATAAACTCACTTCTCTCCTTTATTCTTGATGTTTTTGTTATTCAGTGTAATATTGTCCTCTCATCTATTCCTAGGTCTTGCAAATGACTCTTTTCTTCAGGCTTTCCAACCAGAGTAATTAATTTCTCATACCTCCAGTTTGTGCTCCACCAATATCATATTGACGCATGTTAGTAACTAGACATGGGGTTTGGATTGGTAACTACACGTAGATTTATTGAACACGTAGAACTCGTAACTGCAAGTAATTATAGTAAAAGGTGGAGGTAAGGTTGTTCCTGTGCGTAACTAACTAAGCACTACGCCATGAAGACGTATGGGGGAGTGGATATATAGATCAACATTTTCTTGGCCTCTGCACTAGATGGAATTGAGTTGTCAGCTTCACGCCCCGCCGCTTTACCCCCGATACGCATTCTATAGGAGGTTGGGTGGACCCTGCAGCCTAGGAACCAGAAGAGACGGTGGAAGCCGAAGAAGAACGAAGTCCAGTGATCTAGGCTGTCAAGGGTGTATTTGGGGTGGGGAGCTGTCAGAGTTGACGCGTCAAATAGTACTAGTAAGTGCAGCCCATTTACTCCAGCATTTTACTATTTTTTAATTTTAACGTAATCAGAAAATATTTATCTGGCATGCATAAACTACATAACTGCATTGATTTCTTCTGCTCTTCAATCTCGTGCAGGTTTCGAAATAAAGTTAATTTCACATTTCTGTGCTACAATAATGCCACGTATTTAGGGGTGTGTGACTGTAGAGGGAGTATGGATTGATGAATGGATTTATTGACCACTTGTATACAATTTACAAATTACTGACAGACACAGACTAGTGTTATTAGTCCATTACAGTTTCAACTAGCCGTTTCATGGGAACGGCTTCTACCGTGGTAGATACTTCAGCTTTCCACGTTCTGGTCCTCTTGTCACAGCAGCTCATGCAGAATTCCTCTCAACTAGCTGGGTCCCAGGCTGGCGGCCATTACACACCAACCTCCAAGTCTTCTCTTCACAAGCTGACTTTCAACTGGCGACTGACAACTGAACACACTCACTCGTCAACTAGCTACTACTTAACATCACGTCACTCAATTGGACTGTTGAAAACTCTTCCCAACAAACTCGTTGCTTCATACTGCCCTCCTTACACCATCTCTTGGGTTTTTGTGTTGGTTTTATACAGGCAGACGCCTTTTTGTTTGTTTTCAATATCATAGCGGTGAAGATGAACCTCGTGGTTGCCATGCTACGCTTTCTCTGTTGGTCCTTAAGTCGTTTCCACTTGTAAAAGAGAATGTCGGGATTCTAATGAAAATATCCCACGATCGATTCCTGATTTCGGCAGAAATGCTTTGGATGCATAATGAAGTCGTCACTTCTTGTTCCGCAGATCTCATGCAGGATGGAGGCCATCAACCAGACGACGTCTATCCTGCGCGATTCAGTGACCGACGTGGGTCATGGCGGAGGCAATGGCTCTGCATCTGCCCAGCCGACCATCAGCTCGCGTGAGCAGACGAGGCTCGACTTCTACCGCACATACGACGTGATGACGGGTGTCCGGATCGCTGCTACCCTGGGAGGATTCTTCAGTCTGATGGTGCTGCTCGTTGTATACAAGAGCAAGTGCAAGTCGAAGACGCTCAGCGACGAGCACCTGAATGCTGCAGCGGCTGCAGTCGCCATTCAGGATGAGGAACAGCAACTGACAGCAACCGCAATGTGCTTGCGTGGCCCTCGCCGTTCACTCGGCAACATGAGCGCGCCAGCTGTAGTTATAGCGCGTGGTGCACGGCGCTACTCTTCCATTGGGGGATACTCGACACTAGAACCACCCTCTTCATACTACTATCAGCGAGGCAAGAGTCTTCCCGGTTCTGCTATCAGGTTCCATGTGAGGAGTAATGAGGACAGGGCTATGTCTCCGGTGCCTTCCTTCACGATAAGAGACCGAACACGTGACAATGTTGGTGAGGAAGAAGAGGATTCCGTATTAGCTGGTCCATGCTGCTATCATCAGTTCCTTACGGTTCCATCGGGCCCTGACACGCGTAGACTCAGTTCAATTACATGTTCAAGCTCGGATACGTCCTACCTAGAGCGACGAGGATCCGCAGTGGAGTTGGGAATCCCCGCTCCTCCTCCGTTTCCTTATAAATCTCGTGCGAAAGGCCGCATTGACCCAAATGCTATCATGGCTAAGGAACCATGGGATTTTTATTACCCCATAGACATTCAGGTGATTCAGCCAACACCAGAAGTTTCGCCATGCGGAAGTGAAAGAACTTTATATGACCATCCGGTGGAGTTATCATCACCAGGACTCAGGCCTCCACCTCGGGGTTCCATAGTGGAATCAGTGACATCTAATCTGAATGTTCCTGTGAGATTAGCTCCTCTTGCATCTATTAGTAGTGTTGGTGGTTCCCTTACAGATTATCCTGACCTAGATGATATGCATTCCATGGGCTCGGATTCAGTGTTCCTAGATGAGGGGCAAGAATTGGACACAGAAGATGAAGTTGAGGGTTTCTCAACTGATAGTGAAGATGATGGTTTTGATAATGATAATGTCCTGTGCAGACAAAGACGTCCCTGGGAAAAAATTGAGGTTAATAGATATCCTGTGTGCTCCTCTGAATCACCTACTGTCCCTTATGCACAGTCCTCATCACCTTGTCAGAAGTCATTCACATCTATGTGTCATTGGGGTGCAGCAGGTAGCAATGGATTCCGCCCTAGACGACGCCTCTCCACACCAAGATGTCATTACCTCCATAGCTGCAAGAACAAATCATCTTGTGCAACAATCAGTGCTGAAGTAGCTGAGACAGTTTCCCATGGTAACAGACCAGAACTTCTCACCTCTAGCAGGTCATGTGAAATCCAAACGTCTTCGAGTGATATATCTCGGAGGCCACAATATCCACTTCCAGTTCCAGAAACCAGTAGTTCCTCTAGCAGTGATAGCCTAACTCTGCTAACTGATTCACATGCCTCTTCACTGAGACTCCCAGTGACCCAAATGAGGCCTGAAAAACAACAACCATCTCAACAGCAGCCTACATCATCTCCTTGCCGAGGTGCAAAATCTTGCGAGAGTCTGACAACTGCGTCCGTTCCTTCTTCCTCCTCAAAAATGCTAGGCCTCCCTTCTTTGCCTCTGCTGAGCCATAGTTCATGTGAACACCTCATCAAAGCTCTCAATGAGAAAACTTCAATACCAGCAATGAAAAACTGCTCCTGGTCCCAAGAGACATTATTTTAGCTGTTGCATAATGTGCCATATTCAGTCTTGACAGGGTCACTTTTCAGTATATTTTTCCAAGAATGTAGAAAATGGTTTCTATGAAGCTGAAGAACACGAGTAGCTATAGTGTTTAGGCAACAGACATAATCAGGGTCTCACTCTTCTTGAGAGTGTTGAGTAAATGCTACACTTTTTGTTAGTGGGCTCTGATAGTTTCCTGAAACTGAATATGAAGTAAGTACTGAATATCTGAGCCAATCATATATGTAAATATTGAGGTAACGCTATCCCTGTAACAGGCCAGGGAGGTCCATAGGGTTGTGAAACGTTGAGGCTCTCATATTTTTTAGACAATCGCCTCACAAATGGTGGTGAGGTTGCCAGACTTACGTGCCGGCCGCCCTTTACCCCCAGGAAGATTCCTGGTACTGATTTCTGTTAGAGGCTGTTGACCCAAGAGCCATAGTGCAGCTGGAAATATTAGGTCATTTGAAAAGTCCAATAACCGCATCGGGAATCGAACCTGTGACTTTCTGGGATGTAGCATAATGCCTCAGCCAACTACACTACCGCGTGCCCCATATATATATATATCAAGTTCTGTTAATACATCCATGTCTGGAAACGCATTTTTTATGTGCTAGGGCCTCTGAAATGTGAAGGAGGATACCTTTACCTCTTACCTCTGTGGCTTACTAGTGACATTTACCTAACATTTCTCCAAGAGATCTTACCAGAGCTGCTGGAAATTGTGCCTTTGGAAGTCTGTGTTGAAATGTGGTTCCAGTATGATGGCTCCCCAGCACACTGCACTAATTTAATTTTGTCCGTAAGTATTTGGATGAAACCTTTGGCAGCATATGGATTAGCTCCCCTGACTTCATTCCATTGGATTTCTTTCTCTGGGGATACATGCAAAGCCTGGTGTACGAGACTCCAGTGGAGACACAACATGATCTTGCTGAAAGATTTGCAGTAGCAGCTGGAACCATCTGGGTAATGCTGGGAATCTTTCAAGGAGTTCAGCATAACATAGCCAGGCGGTGCAGAACATGCAATGAAGTCAGTGGCCGCCATTTTGCGCAACTTTTTTAGTGTAAAACAACGTCCACCAAAACTCCTGCATCCTCTCAGAAACTTCATGGTCCTTAGTGGCAAAAGGAAGGGTTTCTGGACATGGGTGTAGTAACAAAATATGATCTGATTGAATCCATCTATCTACCACAGAGCGTTGTAACATATATTTGTTTACACTCTGTATAAAAATAGTAATTTGGAGTACATATGTTTTTCATATTCTTTCTTTGCAATTTGCTGTATCTGGGCATTTACCCATTGTTAAGTATGTAATCTCATTTAAATATTTGGTATGATGATATCTCTGTGAAACAAACTGAACTCTTTTATTTTGGAGATATTTTTTATTTATATTTTTGTTCTATATTCTTTTTCCATTCATGGAATATGATATATGAAGTATATTTTGGATGAATGTAATAAAAAATGTAATTGTATTAGCTCTTGTGATTTCAGCAGAACTTAATGAAATTATCAGCACTAGTTAGTATTGTCCAACAAAAAGAGGAATCAAATAAACACCAATAGTCATGCAATCTCATTACACACACACACACACACACACACACATATATATATGTGTGTGTGTATGTATATGTATGTGTAGCTTTCCACTACCTACAGCCAGAAATTATTTTTCCTTGCATTTAATTATATATTCATTATATTGAAAGATGTTCCAGGGTCTTTATAAGATCCAAAATATATACTATGCAATTAGTTTTCTTGAGTATGGAAGCAAAAATTGAATTAGTATGACAATTATTTGATGTAAATTCCCTAAAAGCAAATTTCATTGAAATCTGATTGCTAGTTATGTAGCTGGGACAAGCCATTTGGCTGGACAGACAGATGCGACTTAATTTTATACACTGTGCTGAGACACACAACATTATGAAATATGGAACTAAGTTTATAATAGCGACAGTGACATGCGCATATGGATTTGGTCAGTTTAGAGTGTTTCATGCTTCCTGAAGAACTGATAATAGGCTGCGCCATTGCTCACGTGGATACTTACTGGCTTCCCACCATGGTGTCATGGGTTTTATTCCAGTTCAGGTCATATGGGATTTGTGGTGGACAAAGTGGCTGGCACTGGGGCAGATTTCTCCAAGTACTTCGGTTTTCCCTGCCAGTTTTCATTCCACCAACTGCTCCACATTCATTGCCCATTCCATCGTTTATGATATATAATCTTCATGCTGACAGATATTTTATACAACCTAATGATAATAAGGCATAACACCGAATGTTGTGAATTACTGCCAAGTTATAGTTCATGCCGTGTGTGAAGCCAGACAGTGAACTACATGGTATGTAGCATGTTATGCAGTATTTTCCCTTCTGGGTAACATTCTTGCGTGAAATCTGGGATAGAAGCCTCAGCAAAATGCACTTCACATATTGAAAGTGGAACGCCGTGAAATGATTCTTCAAACCATAATGTCACAGAATTAAATGAAGCATATATGAAGAGTTACATAAAATACATTTAATGTTGAACTGTAGGAATGCCTCATGTTATCATTTTTACATGTACATTGCCTTTTATCATGTCCAGCTGTCTTTCAGCCATCACCATGAAGTGCACTGCTGTTGGACATTCACTGTCCTGTAACATACAGTGATAGCTGGGTAACTTTCAACCTTAATTCTTTGGGAAATGAACCAGTTTTTAGTCACTGGTCCGCCTACAGCTGAAGCTTACACATCTTGTAGCTAAGCTTCCACATCTTAACTTGTGAACTGACATATACTCAAAAATTGTCTCTAATCTCTGATGGCAATTTTGTGCAGAAACTAGATTGGAAAAGGTTATATATTTTGCAGAATGAATATATACAGGTATTACTATCCACTCTGATGTGACTGTGGATCTGTAAGTTCAGTAATATGATAAGTGTCTGTAACACAGCAATATTTATTATAGCTTCTGGGAAACTCTTAGGGTCTCATGTGTTTTCAAAACAAGTGTATGTTTAGAGGTCTAAAAATATAATATGATATTCAGTTATGCATACTGAATTGATCCCAATGTACAAACCTTCACACACTACAGTCTATGACGAGAATTAATTATATCAAAATAAATGAGTTCAATGCCCAATAATCAGAATAGGGTAATCTAGTTCAGTTATATCTCTCTGTTGGTTTCTTCCATAGAGCAATGTACTTTTGTACTTGTATGTGTGTATTTTGATGTCATTACATGTTCCCAGCATAGTTAACAGTTTTGCTTCTTATTAGTCTGTTTAAATTCTGTAACTATGTTGCAGTTATGTAAACATGGTGCATAATGTATACGTAACTTTGTCTCACCGATTCCTTTGAATAAGGAAGTATATGTACGCAATAAAGTCATCTGGAGGTTAGACAGTTGCAGCCATTGTGAGCCACTGTAATTTGACTTCCCTAACTTGGCAAATCAATTATCATATTATTACTTTACTGTGGTAGAAATTACCTTCTAGGTTGCTATAGTGTGGGGCCTAACATATTAATTTTGCTGTTAAAATTATATTAATTTCGATTAAAGAAATACAATTATATGCTACAGTGACATCAAATCCCCAGAATTTGCCAAAGAAAAAAGCAACAGATAATGCCAAAACACGCATACTATTTGTGGATAATAATTCTGAAGGTCTGCTTCACATCTTTGTGAGATTATTAATGAGGAACTGAATGACTCATTAATTGGTTATAATGATTGTTCATTATCATGTTATAAGGCTGACTCAGTATGTAGATATGAATGCAATATTCTACTTCATGAAGGCAATTCAGTTATTAAAATCGTTTCACATTAGATCTCATGTTTCTTCACTGATTTCCAGTTTTATAAAATTGAAATGTACGGGAATATGTATGGGATTTCACCATGCCACAAATACTTATTTCTAAAATTGTTTTATGTCACTATTAATGTTCATTAATTTCATAAATGATGCTCATAATAAATACTGAGGAAGGAATGATATTTACATAGTTTTACATTTATTTTCCTATATATTACAAAAGTGTAAGAGACAAGCTGTTCAAGCCTGTGTAAATATGAAAAAGAAGTTGTTAGTGAAACTTGTAGAATTTGTATATACAAGTACCATTTCTTTGACTGTTAACAAAAGTGAACTGTGTAAATGCCTTCTTTTTATTGTAGAAGACACAATAAATAGTGTATGACGATTGTGTTAATAAATTGAACGTAAACTCTACATAAACTACCAGTACATTTTATAGGACACTTGGGATCTTCCTTCCTATAGAATGGAGACAACTTTTGTAGCAGTGCAATGAAATGTAGACACTGGAAGAAAATTAGCAATGTGGTGAGTTATTTAATCAACCTCTCTCAACTAGAATGCAATATTTAGGTTACAAGTTCCATGTTGGCTCAAGGCAATAGAAGCACTACAAGGTAAGGTAAACACTTTTATTTTTTAGTTTTAGGAGTGGTGTGAACCTCAGTCCTCTGATTCAATAGCTTCATATGGGTCTCTTGTTGCAGCCCTGGATGTTAGATGAATATGGACAATTGCTGAAATAAGAGTTTTCAGATCTGAAGTTCTCAGAGAAAAACCAACGCTAGTGCCACTGTGTCAAGCAAACATCCTCATGGACTACTCTTGTTTAAACCTTGACCTTTGTAGTAAGAAGCTGTTGACTGCCTGACTTATGGTATGGCTAAATTCAACACTTTCCTTTTCTCCTTTTTCTTCAGTTAAAAATAGGTTTGTCTGCATCCTTGTTTCCTCATACATACAGTTTGGAAAATGTTTTATGTGAAAGTATTTTTAAGGTACTCAGCAATGTACAAATTCAACACTTTGCTCTTATTATCTCTAAGATAAAAAACAAATTACTCTTCAACTTTGTTTCTCATGACTAAAAATAAGTTCCTTCTGAATTTGTTTTTGAGGAACCCAGTAACTGTAGTTACAACTTCAAATACTTTCTTACATTCAATGGATAGATCAAGGAATTAAAAATTGATAATTTTACTGTCTTCTGCTTATCTCTCTAACTTAGTGGTGTAGAAGGAGATGTTTTATTTGACATCATTTTGAGCATGAAGATCAGTTGTTATTGTGACTCAGTTTGATAATGTTACTTACCGAACACAGGCAATAGCCTTTATTCCTAATAGCACTGTACTCGTACAGCACAGGTATTTAGAAGTGACAGTCCAGGAAAAGCTGTGCAGTGGATGGGCAGGTCCATTCGTGAAAGTTGAGGGGTGTTGTGATTAGTCATTCGTTTGTTTTCAGTGCAAGCAGACGTCTCAAGCTCAGTTAAAAGCATTCTTCCTTGTATTGTATTGTATTGTATTTATTTGCACGTTCCAACACATCCTTACATGGCCAAGCCCTTGGATACAGAACCGGTCTCACAACAAGCCTGCTAAGTAGCAGGTAGTCGCTAGATAATATATATATACAACAATATTAACTTAATACCCTTATATGTACTACAATTACATCACATTTACAATATAATTACATCATAATTTAAATATAAATAAATAAGTCCATGATTTATTTAATCCGTCTTGCAGTGCATACACTCATTTAACTCCTTCTCTCCCTCGCACTACATGTTTCGGCATAATAATGCCATCTTCAGGTGCTTACCCATCCACGTCAAACCAGTTCATTGCATGCCATGTTCACACATTAAAATAACTAAAATATGTATCTATCATATACATTGTCAAACGTTAAAGTATTAAAATTGTTCAGGATACCACATCGCTACTTCGCCCCTCACTACGTCAGTCACGCCCATTCTCCTTTGTTGGAGCACTCCTTCACTATCTTGTGTGTTGTGCTTTTGTTGTGTCGTGCTCCTGCGACTGCGTGTGTTATAACACAAGGCCATCAGGTCCAAAGGCCATCAGCTCATTGTTATCCATGCTGGGGGAGAACAAGTTTTCATCCCTAATGCCTATGTCTGCTTCAAATCCCACAAAAAAACAGGAGACTACCACAGTGACATGAACTATAACAATTATGAAAAATGGTTAAAGGAGTGACTTATTCCTAACCTTCCCCAAAATTCTGTCCTTGTCATTGATAATGCTCCCTACCATAATGTACAACTAAACAGAGCCCATAACTCAAATTCAAGAAGAGATTTTATGATATCCTGGCTAAAATATCACCTTCCACCTATTACCTTCAATAACACTGATTTTTCATCATTGCGCAATCCAGACATATATAATATGATTCTACCACTCAAACCGAAATACCTTTCCTATATAATAGATTGAATCTTTGTAGAACACAATCACAATATTTTACGACTCCCTCCATATCATCCAGAACTCAACCCAATTGAGTTAATATGGGCCACCGTAAAAAATTGGGTTGCCCAAAACAATACCACATTTAAGTTGGATGACATCATTAAACTGGCAGACCAAAAATTGGCTTCCATCACTAGAAAAATGGCAACGTAGGTGCCAACACGTAAGGAACATTGAGCAACAATTAATGGCACAGGAAGACCTTTTGGATGCAGGATTGCCTTCCATGTTGACAGTGGTAGTGATGACAGTTCTGATGAGAGCTCCGATTCATCTGGTGGTGACGAGGAAGGACAGGCATGTGGAGATGATATCTATGTGGACATTGCCGGTCTTGCCCCTTTACAATAGACCTGTGTAATATGTAAATAAACTCTTCATGTATATAACAGTGAAAAGTGTATACTAGTGTATAGTGCATAATAGTCTGCCATTTGGCGCTTAAAACTTAACATCGGATGTGTGAACATCATTGAGACTAAACCGCCAACAATATGCAACACAATGAGGTAAGAAATTATTTCCTTTTGAGAACACCTATACTGCATTCCCCTCCACACTTGTCAGCATGCTGGAGCTCTCCCCGCCACTACCAATACTTCTCCTACGCCGCATCGGAGGACTGTCACTTCTAAATACGTGGGCTTTATACTGTCTTGATGTTGGGCATGACTATAGATGAAGTTTGGGCTGGTAATTGGATTTACTGAATACTTATACATACAACTTGTAACTACAAGTAACTATAGAGCTCTCACTAATTCACACACTCTGCAGTTCATTACAGCACATACTAAATCTTCAAAGTTTGTTTTCACTAGCCATTTTCTGGTAACAGATCCCAGCAGTGTCCTTTGCTTATGCCCTTACTGGAGTTAAAAATTTGTTGAATCTGAAGATAAACGATAAAATGAATTGGGGTTGCTATGTGAGTCGGTCATGGACTGTGTGGCCTTGCGGATCTGGCGTCATGTCCCGGGGGTGGGGGGGGTTAGGGAACAGATGAGAGGCTTCCATGACTTGCTGGGCAACCCCCAGCTTAAGGGTTAATGCCCTCCCATTAACCTTGCCTTTCTCCCCCAACACAATATCCTATACCTGCTCTAACCTTGCTCCTGTCTCAGACCCTTCCTCTCTCCCTCTCCACTGATTTTACATGTAGACTTGTTCCCTCCCTTCCCTGCTCTCATATAACTGAGTTTATTCCCAACATTAGTCTGCTTGCACCTGTTCTCGCTGTCTCTTCGCTTGTGGATTTTCTTATTTTTCCTTCTACCCTGAAGGTGGAGGTGATACGTTCCACCGAAACGTCGGTTAACACCACATCCACACGGTGCCACATCCCAGAGGACTGCTTTCTTCATAGTCACCACCGTGAAAACCTCAAATCTCACATAATGTATTTATTTGTTTAAAGCTTATTTAACTACACTCAGTAACTCATCTGTATATGGTATCAGATGGTTAATAAATTGAGAACCGGAGGGAGCATTGAAGGAAACGTTAATAACTGTTCGTATTTTCTCCTTTATTATGTACCAATTTCAAATACCCTTCAAGCACAATGTTTAGTTTAGAACTTAACTATGCCAGATATGCCGCTGTTGCTCAAAAGAAGCCGTATTCCCGCTGGTAATTTTCCGTCGTTATGTTGCCATGCATGATAAGTGCAAAGCTGTATGGGTAGATTAATTTATAAAAGGAAATAGCATATTCACCCCCCCCCCAAAAAAAAAGAAAAGCTAGCAGAATTGTAGAACTTGATAACGTTTCATTGTAAATCCTGTCAAATATTTCAGCTGTAAGTTTTACGGAATGTTTAATATAAATTCTTACAATTATTTGCAGGAGCCACATTAGTAGATGAGAGATTTGTACCTATTTTCTTCGCCATCTGAACAATTATAAAGGGAAAATGTGTTTATTTTACTTGTATGACAGAGATTGAAAATTCCCGCCAATTAAAAACTATATTCATTCCATGCGTATACCACACCGTAATTTATAATTTAAGCTTCAGAAAGCTTGTAGTAATTCTATTACGGCACCTGCCCTGCTGTCCTCCACCCTGCATTCGTGAGTCACAGATGATCGCAGATGATGGTCCACGAGTGATGGTGCGCGGATCAGGCGGAAGGAAGTGGTGATCTGCTGGTTGAGAAAACTGTAAAGATGGTTGGCGTGTGGAGGTAGTTAAGTTGAATCAATGCATCAAAATTGCCAATATTGTGTCTTGCGATGTCACGGTTGGCAGATTACTTCGTAATTGTAGGTTATGATCATGAGAAAGAAAGTAAGTAAATAACCAGCAGTACTATCTGTTACTAATATATTGTCAAAAAGTCGTGTGCTGTCAAATTTATTTTAGGACTAATTCAGCACGTAAGGTGGTTTGAATGAAAGGGTTAGTGTCTTTACCGAGACACCTGATTAGAGGCATGTTTAAATGGTAAATGGTGGAACTATTTTTGTAGTACTCGTTATGTTATGTGTCATATTCGTTTGTAGGAAGTGGAATAAGCAGTGGAATTATCTTGCAAAGATTTCCAGAGAAGGACTGGAGTGATACACCGTTCATTGAAGGGATAGAATGGGTAATAACCTTACAGATTATATATTTATGTATACATAAATGAATGTATTAATCTAACATAGAGGAGAGTGTAAGTTATCCTTCGATGTATAATTTTAATATTTTGTTGAGTGGAGAGATATTTTACAGTTTTGTCAACCACAAGGATGGGCCCTATCAACAGAGCGCCAGGAACCACGATTCTTTGTGTCCGTTTTGACGGATATCGATGCAAACAGACATTACTGTGCTTGTCTGTGTTTCAACGAAACTGTTGCCTTCACACCCAGCAAACCTGTTGATGAGGTAATTTTGTGTTTAGACTGTACGTGAACTTTTTATCAATGAAGCAGATATGATGAGAATTGGTACATCGGTACTCTGTGGTGATCATTTGCGTTTGTTTGCTTAGGGTCCTAATGTAATTGGATTCTGAGAAGATGTGGGTAATTATACAAATCAGGTTATGGCATTTTATTTGTATTGTTTATATTTAAAAGTTTAGATCTGCTCAGTAGACCCAGATCTAACAACACATAAGAACTGCTTGTGTTGGGTCTAGTAGCCATCAATAAGAAGTTATTAAAACAGTGACAGGAGAGAAGGTTGGTTATACCTGTTGGTACATAAGGTTAAGAAGGAGGTTTTAAGTCTGCCACAGAATGAACTTCTGACAGTTGTAGTTAACCTTACATTTTAAATTTGTGATGTGTCATAAGAAATTGTTCTGTTGCTTTTTCTCTTAAAAATGCCTCTGGACCACAAGAGACCTTCAGAGCACAGTTTGAGAAGCACTGCTGTAGGGATGGCAGTGTAGGGTATTTTTCCAGAATGCACCTATTGTTAGAGGTGACATTGGGTGCATGCATGATGGAATGGGTTGTACATACTTGAATGAATGAATGAATGTATGAGGGGTAGGCCTCCTCGGCCCTTGCACCGTGACCTACAGTGGTCTATTGTGCTTCCCCTTTTGATTATCCCCTCACCAATCCTGCACTTTGAATGAAGCACAGGATTTTGTATATGGGGATGTCGAAATAGTCACTTGGTTCCATAAAGTATTGACCTAAGTGACGCAATCTTAAATAAGCTAAGGCCTCACATTGACACAGCATATGTGTGGCTGTTTCATTTTCTTCTTGACACCTCTCACAAGTGGGACTTTCACTTAGTGCCAGTTTGAAGAGGTGTCCTTTAAGGTGACAGTGTCCTGTAAGTAGTCCCGCCACCCATTGTAGCTGGTTCCTGTTTAACTTCAAGAGTTACTTCACTCTCTTAACTGAGGGTCCTTGTATGAGTCCCTTTGCTTGCTTGAGTCCAGTCAAGGATCCCCAGTATTTTTTGTGATTCATATTTGTCCAGTCCCTGATTGCCTGTCTGGCAACTCCTATAGAGATGCCACAGGCTGGTTCAGGTCCTATGAACGGATGTTGAGCTCCAATCTGAGCAAATTGGTCTGCTGTTTCATTTCCAGCAATACCCTCATGCCCCGGCACCCATATCAGTTGTACCCTGTTATGTTTGGCCAGTTCCATGAGAGTTTGGTGGCAATCCCAGACCAATTTTGAGTTGATCTGGTGTTTGTCAAGTGCTTTAAGTGCAGCTTGGCTGTCAGATAGAATGTAGATGTTCCTGTTTCTGTAGTTCCTATCTAAATTCTCCATAATACATGCTTTAATGGCATATACTTCTGCCTGGAATAATGTCGTGTACTGCCCAAGGCTGAAACTAAGTTTCTGCCTCGTGCCATAGCAGAACACACCAGCTCCAGTGCCCTTATTTATCTTGGAACCATCTGTATACCAGATCAGTCCTTTTCTTTCGGGCTGAAACCCGTCTTCCCATTCACTCCTGTCAGGAAATCTGACTCTGAATGGTTTTTCATATACATATCCTACATACTTACTGCCATATGTTATATCATATTGCAAAAGTGTTTTGATGAATGCTTGGAAAATTAAAGAGGTTGGATTTGCAGGACTGAATATCATTTGTTATAAATTTTTTAGTCTTATGGTGTATCAGTGTGCTTATAAAGTTGTTTATACATATTTTTTAATATAAATTTATGTAATTACAGGAAGAAGATACTGTTGATGGGGAAAATTCTCATCCTCGTAGCTTGACTGGAAGTCTCACACGGAGCATTGCTACTATAACGCATCACAGTATCATGTATGCTCCAAAATGTCTGGTTCTTGTTTCAAGACTGGACTACATTGAAACTTTCAGGGTAAAAATAAACCATTAATTTCGTTAAATACAAATTTTAATTGAACTGTAGTTTATGTTCCTCAGGTTGAGAATATTTTCAACAACACAGAACATTTTCTATTAGTATCCCTGTTGTCTCATTAAATTAAAAGAAAGCATAAACTTTCATATTTTTAGTGCCAAGCCTTTGCTGTGAAAATGCTGAGAATGTTGTATTTTTTGTTGTGCTGTTGCTTAACGTGTTTATGAAATGCTAGGGGTCCGTTTCACGTATTAGCATTCCCAATATTGAAAAATACAGAATATTGCTTTTACAAAGCTGTTCTGCATAAGCATTTCTCATTAAAGTGTTTGACAGCAGAGGTCAAGGGACGCTTGCTGGCAACTCCTCGTACCAGTAGATTAGTATTAAATGCAGCCAACACATGCTGCAACCTGCTGGCACACTGTTACTGTGATCTCATGTAGCACCATAGCAGTTTTGTTGTACAGAGATTTGTAGCAGGAAACCTGCTTTTAATCATCAGCTGGATCAAATGATTTAAGGTTTGGCCACGTTGGGTCAGTCTTGTGCCACATCATGCTTTGTTAGTGCCCCTGTTAGTTCCAGTCTTTTGGGTTCACTGTTTTTGTTATAGTAGTTGAACATATACCACCTTGCTTCTTTAAAAGCGGTGAAGAGAAAATATCCATGTACAGAATGATGAAAGTGTTGTACCAAAAGAGATTTACGAATAAAAGAGTGTAAAGAAAGAGCACTGAGCAAAGTTTTTGCAAAATTAGGATATCTAGTGCAGAGATATTCAGTTGATTGCCTTAGCTTGACTATTTCACGGTCAATGGTAATTATATATGCCACCAGATTTAATGTTTGGCATTTCACCCATTTGGTTTCGGTTTGTTCCGGGAATAAACAGTGATAATTCTAAAGAGTTCTGTTGTCTGGGATTAACACTGTGTAGTCCGGTGGAAGTCAGGGTTGACTTTCACTGTACTGCATGGCTTTATATCCCAGAAGACAAAGCTGTTCATAGGTACCACTGTGATAACCTCAAATCTAACAGTGATAGTTATTTTGGATTTGAGTTCTTTCATCAGTGACTGTGAAGTGTAACAAACATCTGGGTTGTAGTAGCCGTGATAGTTTTCCTGATCTGAATTGGGTTTATGATGGATACATGACAATTTTTATGAAGTGAGAATGAGACTTTTATGTACTTTTGAGAGAAATGTTGCCTTTTAAAGTGCTGAAGCATTGCTGAAATCAGTATTAATGTCCCACTCGTAGACTTTGTTTGCACGTCAAAACAGTCACAAGGTAGTGACAGTAACAGAGGGACGCTTCTTGAAGCCCACNACTTTCACTGTACTGCATGGCTTTATATCCCAGAAGACAAAGCTGTTCATAGGTACCACTGTGATAACCTCAAATCTAACAGTGATAGTTATTTTGGATTTGAGTTCTTTCATCAGTGACTGTGAAGTGTAACAAACATCTGGGTTGTAGTAGCCGTGATAGTTTTCCTGATCTGAATTGGGTTTATGATGGATACATGACAATTTTTATGAAGTGAGAATGAGACTTTTATGTACTTTTGAGAGAAATGTTGCCTTTTACAGTGCTGAAGCATTGCTGAAATCAGTATTAATGTCCCACTCGTAGACTTTGCACGTCAAAATGGTCACAAGGTAGTGACAGTAACAAAGGGATGCTTCTTGAAGCCCATTCCATCCTTAGTAAAATCCGTACATGTGTGTAAATGGCTGGGTATGATAATAGAGATTTCCCAGTGCTGGTCACGTTAGCCAAGCAGTCTAAAGCATGTACTGTCTTCACTTGCTTGGAAGCCAGGATTGTGTGTTTGAATCCCACACAAAGCATAGATGTTTGGTTTGTGAATGTGTTTATTCTGTGTTCATATTGTCCTGTGTTTAAGTAGAGGCCTTGTGATGAGCTGATCACCCATCTAAGGAATCCTACTGTCTAAAAACGATGAATGAAACTGAGAAATCAGCCCTATGCTCCAAAATGGGAGCAAGAAGAAAAAAAAANGCACGTCAAAATGGTCACAAGGTAGTGACAGTAACAAAGGGATGCTTCTTGAAGCCCATTCCATCCTTAGTAAAATCCGTACATGTGTGTAAATGGCTGGGTATGATAATAGAGATTTCCCAGTGCTGGTCACGTTAGCCAAGCAGTCTAAAGCATGTACTGTCTTCACTTGCTTGGAAGCCAGGATTGTGTGTTTGAATCCCACACAAAGCATGTATGCTTGGTTTGTGTATGTGTTTATTCTGTGTTCATATTGTCCTGTGTTTAAGTAGAGGCCTTGTGATGAGCTGATCACCCATCCAAGGAATCCTACTGTCTAAAATCGATGAATGAAACTGAGAAATCAGCCCTGTGCTCCAAAATGGGAGCAAGAAGAAAAGAAAAACACTCCTCTCCCAGAGCAGCATAATTTCAGGCTGTGCTGTCAATGTTGGCCCTGAACATCCTACTCTTTACACTTCAATATGTTGTTGAATGTAATTAACCTGTTGTAATTTTGGTAGTCCTAGTCAGAAGGTTTAGAAATGTTTTTAGCAATCTCTGTGAGGTTTGGATTGTGGTCTTGTGGCTTATGGCACCATATCTAATAGGTGGTTGCCAGTGTTTCGGAGGAACCTGTCACCTCCATGTTTAGGGTAAGTGTCACTTCTGCCTTGAAGATGAAGGCACTGGGTTCCTTACAAACATTGGTAACCACTCACCAGACTACATGGTGTCTTGACCCACTGGGTTACAGTCTAAGTCTTCATTCCCAAGAAAACCTCAAATCCTGTCCTTTTTGAGGTTCACAGATGGAGTTCCAACAGCTGGATGATTTGCCTCAGCAATGAAATGATGGATGACTGTTGCTGTCTTCAAATAAAGTTACGTGACAAAATACTTTTTTGTCATACTACCAATTGTTTTTTGATTGGGTGCAATATATTTGAGGTGTGGGTGATGTCNTCCCCCTTTAATTTCTGCTGTCTCCATACCCTACTGGTACTGGTGCGTGGTATCAGCCCTGTTCAGCCAACGAGGTCGACCCTTGGTACCTGATATTTCCCCCATCTACCAGAGGCATTGGAAACTACTTGGGCTGGAAATGTGTTGCCTAAATTTGCTCAGAGGTCTCCTAGAGACATGAGGATCTTTTACGTGCCGTAAATCTACGACACGGGACCCACAGCTTAAAGTCCCTCCAGGAGGACTTGTTCCCTGAATTTTTCCGCCCTTAAAAATTCCACGACCTCTGCTGGGTTTGAACCCGCATACCTTGAGTCATGAGGTGGAAACGTTACCCCTAGACTATGGAGATGTTCAGGGTAAGTGTCACTTCTGCCTTGAAGATGAAGGTACTGGGTTCCTTACAAACATGGGTAACCACCCACCAGACTACATGGTGTCTTGACCCACTGGGCTACAGTCTAAGTCTTCATTGCCAAGAAAACCTCAAATCCTGTCCTTTTTGAGGTTCACAGATTGAGTTCCAACAGCTGATTGCCTCAGCAATGAAATGATGGATGATTGCTGCTGTCTTCAAATAAAGTTATGTGACAAAATACTTTTTTGTCATACTACCAATTGTTTTTTTGATTGGGTGCAATATATTTGAGGTGTGGGTGATGTTCTGAATGAAAAATGGACCACTTGAAGCTCACAGTCTGTGTATTCTGTCTTACTGTTTGGCAAAGTGAGAAATGTTTTGTTACTGAAGGGTGGTATATTTACACTTTCTTCCTGTTTTGTGCTGTGTATTATCTTATGTTGTGTCTTCTGTTCAGTGAAGGAATGACTCGTATCCATTAGCATAATTTCCACCTCCTCCAGTAAGGAAGTTAGTTTCTTAAAGATATTTAATTATTGCAGAGTTGCCTAGGAATTATCTATACGGTGTATGTGGAAAACATTGGTGTTCCATTGGAGACATTAGTTGGCAACATCCTGGGATGCATCCAGGTACCTCCACCAGGAGGACCGCAGGTTCGCTTCAGTATTGGGGCAGGTGACAGGCAAGCACTACAGCCACCAATAAGCCCTTCTTTGCCTGTTACTCATACAGCTGTGAATCTGCTATTTCAGCAACTAGGTGAGGGAAGTAACATATTTCATAATCTTGTAGTTTACTTTTGAATATACGTGTATATGTATGTTCAGAGTTACTGGGTTTTTGGACTTTTTCCATCATCTGGTAATTCTAAGTGTTACACACCATTCTTACTCATACGGCTGTGAATCTGCTATTTCAGCAACTAGGTGAGGGAAGTAACATATATCACATCTTATAGTTTACTTTTGAATATATGTGTATATATATGTTAAGAGTTTTTGGACTTTTTCCATCGTCTGGTAATTCTAAGTGTTACACACCATCATCAGAACCCTTTAGAATCTCCTTGTATATGTATGTTGTTCAGTGATCGAATCTTAGATTATACTTTTCATCTGTGTACTTTGAACCTGTAAGAGCTGAACCTTGCGCAGCTGATATTATTTTAAAAGTAAATGTATTGACACAGGATTTGTTTGTTTCATTATATCTGACCACATGGATTCAGTACAGTGTGAGAGGTCTGGTGCCGATACCACATATGACAGTCTTTTAAGGAATTTGCAGCAACTCAACCACATTTTCTCTGTTACTTCCATTCATAAAGTTCTCTGTTTTGGAAGACAGTTTAGCATAAAAAACATAGTTTCACTTTCATATTACATAATAATATAGTTTGAGTATGAGTGTGTTTAGTCTACTATGGGACACTTCTGTTGGGCATTTCTGTTTTCAGGTATCCGTAATGTACTGGTATTGTTTTGTGCGATTATGACTGAACACAAGATTTTGTTCCACTCAAAGAGTTACACACGCCTGACAGAGGGTTGCCGGGCCCTGACAGCCCTTATGTATCCGTTCCGTTATACCCATGTGTACATTCCACTGCTGCCAGCAGCATTGGTTGAAGTTCTTTCTACCCCAACCCCTTTCATCATGGGTGTCCATTCTTCCCTTAAAGCTGAAGTTGCTGAGCTGGTGAGTGCAGTAACCACTATTGTTATTTTACCAGTTTTAAGTTAGTAGAGAGATACAGTAGGCCTGGTTTTGCTTCTCTATACATGCAGTATTCTATGTTCAATCTGCTCATTGAATTGTTAGTTCAGAGATGAAGTTATTGTGTGTCAGAGTTGTGGTTTAGGTTCTGTAACATGCAAACAGTTTATGCAAAATCCGTGTATTCACTAGACCAGTGTTCCGCAACCTTTATCTACTCGTGGCAGACCATGAAGTATCCATGACTCAACATGACACACCAAAATGTTTTTCCCCTCAAAAACGCATGATATCAGACAATATAAATACGTAACGTGATCAACTTATTACTATAATATTATCATATTGTTATTTTATTATCTTTAAACAGAAATCGACTCATGCATTTATTAACAATTAATTAACTTTAATTCACTGTAGAGTGTAGAAAATACACTTCTATTACTATTAAAGTAAATAATTTTACTCATGCCTTCAATGTGACACCTGCACCTGCTTAGCTGCACACGGGCGACTGATCCATGGTGGAATCGTTGACAACGCTAGTCTCATTTCTTCATCGATGTATTTCAGCCGCTCCCTCTTTGATGTCTTAATTTCAGTTAACGTCGAGAAGCCCAGCTCACACAAATATGTAGTTGAAAATGGCAATAACACATTAACTGCCATCTTGGAGGTAGCCGGGTATTCACTCCTTATTGCCAACCATAACGTATTCAAAGGCACTTCGAGAAGTTGTAGTTTCAATGTTCTGTCTGCTTTTAAATCTGCAAGTTCCTCTTGTATATTAATCGGAAGATATTCTGAATTCGCAACAAATGGATCACGAACCCAGTCGATATATTGTACACTCTCTCCAAAATACTTATTGAATTTCTGCTGCAGCATTTCTAAGTGTTCTTTAATTATGTCCATCATCACTTTATTGTTGCCAGCAAGTGACCATACAGTCAGGAACATCTCAAATGACCCATCTGTAATTCTCTGTATCCACAAATTCAGCTTATTTACAAATCCTTGTATCTTATCGATGTTAGTTAGAATATTTTCGTTCCTACCTTGCATCTTTCTGTTCAGCTCATTCAAGTGTATGAAAATATCGGAAAGATATGCCAACTTACGTACCCACTCATCATCTGCAAATAAATCCGCGTACTCATGCCCCTCAACAGTAAAAAATGCACATACCTCATTAAGTTCAAATATTTGCATTAACATTTTTTCTCGTGATAACCACCATACTTCTGTATGTAGTAGGAGTCTGATGTGTTCTGATTCCATTTCCTGACACAAAACGGAAAAAAGCCGTGAATATAGGGGCCGTGATTTGATGAGGTTCACGACTTTTACTACTTTGTCCAGCACAACTTTCAGAGAAGATGGCAAAGACTTAGCAACAATGGCTTTGCGGTGAATGTTAGGATTTACTTTGTGTACTTTAGCTACAAATCCTTTAACACAGCCTGCCATAGAAGCCTGTACAAACACTAACGCAATCCTTCCATTTTAATTCATTATATAGCACATATTCATTAGTGACATGAAATACTTCTTCACTGGTGGCTCACTCGGGAAGTTCTTTGCAAAAAAAGAAATTTGTTGCAATTACATCTCCATCGATGTATTGGATGTAAGCAAGATGTTGTGCGTGGCCTCTAATATTGGTGGACTCGTCGATCTGAAGCGAGAACTTCTGACTGCTGTTGATTTTCTCCTTCATAGTGGCTTCAGTGTCACTGGACATGTCAATAACTTGGCGACTGATTGTGTCAGCAGAGAGAGGAATTGTTGAAATTTCACTAGCAGCTTCTGAACCCAGGACTATTTTCACCATCTCTTTACAAGCAGGCATTAACAACGTTTCAGCTATTGTGTGTGTTTTTTTGACCTTTA